CATGCAGTATTTCTTCTCTGTACTTTCACAATGCCAGAATTTTTTGCACTTGTGTTACAGAGGGATTTTTTATTTAATCCTTGACACGTAGCAGCTACTTTTTGTCAGATGCTAAAGACATCTCTACTGGAAAAATGATCCAGCCTTGACCACGACTGTTGGCAACAGGTCCTGCTCCTTCCCCTGCAGCTAATGCTCAAAAATAGTGTTTGCCAACAATGTCCAATGTTTTGGTACAGTCAGTGACATCTCTGAAAACACCACAAAGACCAGAGGGACCCACACAGAAGGTGTATGTGCCAAAACAACCAACTCACCTACATTTGAAACAGATTAGAGTGGATTTGATTATTCTTCTGCATTAAGAGAACGCTCAGAAACTCCACCATTTGAAGCTCACAACAGCAGGATGCAGCAAAAGGCTGACTGACATCACTCACCCCCCCACTCTCTCTCTTAGAACCCATCTCCTCATCTCACCACACAGAACAGGCAATTCTCCCAAAGAACAGCCCTCCCCCTGAAACAGAACCTTCCTCCTACCAGCAGCATTGGTTTGGATGACTCCTTCCATTATTTCCCTCAAGCACCTAACAGCATTATCTCCTTCTGTGATCTCAGCCCAAAAAAGTAACCACTGGTAAACAAGCACCACCCAATTAAATGAATTTCAATCGCTGCAGCTCCGTTACAACACACACAAAAGTGACCCAGGCAGGAGTTGGGTCTGACTAAACCAACAGAACGCAATGACCCAGCCCAAAAAAGCCTTTAGAATCAAAGCAGAAGCAAATCCACTGTTGAACCCATAAATCTGTGAAAAGGCTTTAAGAAAAGACCCTTTTAACAACCCGGAGCGAAGTAATTTTAAGTGACGTTACCGAGATGGAGTCACAACAAAAACATTAAGTAGAAATTCATAATCAAAATAACGTTTGCAGATTAATTTTAGGAAATTACGAAGTGTTACCAGAGGAACTGTGCTTCAAATGGGCTTCAGAGCTTTCAAACTTTAAAAGGTCAACAGCAAGTAGGTTTTAAGAGAACAAAGAAATCTAATGCTACCTATTGAAATCCATAAAAACACAACAAGAGGCCCCAATCCCAGCCAAACCATGTGTCTAGGGATGACTCTGAGAGTCTAAATGAATCATCACCTTTCTGGGGGGTTTTTTTGAGTGCTGTTTTCTCTCTTCTGTCTTATTTCATTCTTTGGAGTCACAATTTTTAATTCTCCTTTAAGGCAGCTTAAACCTAAAAAAAATAAAAGTAGAGCTGAGCCACGCAATTACGTAAAAGAGAGGAATGAAAAGCAGAAACGGTCAATACAAAAGCAATAGGAAGAGCCTTCAAAAATTTGGAAGGGAAACGGGTTATCCATCAAAAATCGGGATGTCTCCTGGAGAAGGAGGGCACTCTCCCGGGATGCGCGAAGGAGTTGGAGGGATAACAACGGCAGGAGCTGCCCTGTCAAGGCAGCTCCTGCGGGGAATGGAAGTACCGACAAGTGCCGGAGAATGGGACAGGAAGTAACGCAGAAAGCCGAGCTGCTGGGAAACCGAACCGCCGCCGTGCTCGCCGGAGTTCACGCTCGGCGGCCGCCACGCTTCGCACACGCACACACACCACACCACACAACCGCCGAGCGCAGCCCAGGCCCCGCGGCCGCCGCCGCACCGGGGGTGGGTAGGGACCCCGCTCCGGGCAGCCGGGGGGGCGGCCCGGGCGCGCCGGGGGGGCTCGCAGGGGCGCGCGGGCGGCGGCACCCCTCACGGGGAGGCGGCCCCTCGGAGCGGGCACGGGGGGCCGCTGCGGGCGAGGGAGGCATGGGGTCGCGCCCCCCGTCCGCGCGGCGGGGGAGCGTGGGTTACCTGCGTGCCGTTGCGCGCCGGCGGGGCGGGGCGGGCCGGGGGCCGGGCGGCGCCCCGCGCTGGCGGCGGAGGGGGCGGGAGGTCGTGGGGGCGGCCGGCGGGACACTTCGCTCCGAGGCGCCCCTCGGCTTCGCGGGCGGGGTCCGGCGGGCGGTCTGGCCGCGCGCGGCAATTCCGCGCCCGGCGGCCGGCCCGCCCCCGCCGCGCGCGGGTGCGCGTCCGATTGGCCGCCGCGCTTACGTGGCCCGCCCCCGCCTTGCGCGCGCCGCCGCCGCGCCCATGGCCCGCCGGGCTGACGGCGGCACGCCACCCGAGGACGCCCCGCTGCCGTAAGCGGGGGGATGGGGGAGGTGAGGGTTTGCGAAGGGGGCGGCGGCGGTTCTGCGCTGGGCGGAGCGGAGTTTGGGGCCTTGCGGTGTCGCGGGGGCGGTCTGTGAGTGGCGGCGTTGCCGGCAGGGGGGCGGGCCAGGGCAGGTCGTGCGGCGCGGCGGGTGACTAAGCGGGAACCGCTGGGCGCGCGGGCTGCGGCTGAGGGGCAGGGCCTGGAGTGAAAAGGGCAGGGCTGGTTGCGTTGGGCGTGGCTTAGCGCGAAGGGGGGGCCCTGAGGGGGCGAGCGGGCGTGAGTGTGGGATATGGGCGTGAAAGGGCGGGGCGTGAGGGGCGGGGCTTTTGTGGGCGCGAGCGGGAGGGGCTGAGGGGGAGCCCTGAGGAGAGACCGGGAGGGGCTGAGGAGGTTCCGGGCGCGTCCGCCGGGCTGAGGGTCTCGGGACTTCCTGGGGCGAGAAGCTGCGTTGTTGGAAGGGCGGGAGGGCTCAGATGCCCTCAGGAGGAGCTGTGGAGGCTCTGGAGAAGCGGCACGTCCGTGCTCGCCGGGTGTCCCCGACAGCCAGGGTTCCTCCCAGTGCCCAACCTGGCATTGCCGGTGTGAGAGATAGGGGGCCACTGAGGTGCAGATTGTTGAGAGATGAGCCTACGAAGTCACTGCAGGTAGAAGTAGTTCAAAGTGTGTTTTATTTCTTAAGTGCTTTAACCACTTCGTTATAAGGAAACGCAGAACCTGCAGACTCCCGCCCAAAAGTCACGGGCTGTGGCTTCATTTTGCCTTTTCTAACTTTTTAATGAAAAGAGAGTGGGTTTTTTGGATAGTTTGTTTTCTCCCACTTGCTACTCATGCAATTAACATTTAATAATATGTATAACAGGGGAAAAATAATACAGGCACTTGACAATAGATAATTATGCCTCTTCAGTAATATCTCTGAGTAATTGTGTGTCATCATAAGCTGTTTTGTGTTAGTAAAAAAAAAAAAAAAAAGGAAAATGCGGTATCAACAGTGTTAATCCAGTTAATTGGAAGAAATTCACCCTGTGGGGTGGGCAGGGCCTGACAGGTTGCCCAGAGAGCTGTGGTGCCCCATCTGAGTGTCCAAGGCCGGTTGGACGGGCTTGGAGCAACCTGGACAGTGAAAGGTGTCCCTGCCCATGGCAGGGGGTGGAATGAGATGAGCTTTAAGGTCCCTTCCAACCCAAACCATTCTGTGATTCTGTGAAATCAGTTTGCATGGCTTTCTTCTAAATTAAATATCCCACCTTGTGGAAATACATGTATTTTATAACTCTGATTTAGGATATTCAGGAGGTGTTTGCAACCACTGTCTGAGTTTTCATCTTCAGTTCCTTATTACCTTTCCCACCAAGTTTCTTTTTTTCATTCTGTTTGCAGCCCCACTTGACTTTGGTTTTCACTTTAAAGCCTTATTAATCATGAAAATAACATAAAGCAAAATATTTATTTGGGATTTTTTTATTGTCTGTATAGTTCTCCTTTCTGTCTTTTGCCTGATCTATATATAAGGTTTTTGAACTGCTTCCTGTTGTTTATGCAGGAGTCTGGCACTGTGAGGCGTTACCTTAATTGGTTTTTAGATGCTGTCATGAATAACTCAGATAAATAATACAAGTAAGGGTTGGAGTTTGTCATCTCTTGTGTATGAATACGATTCCTTTTCTTTACTCTTCAGCTTTGAGCTTTTCACGGTGCTCCCTTGCCGTGCCTGAAACAAATTTAGTCCTTGTCTGATGTTTTCTCCCTCTTTGAAGTAAATTTCTTCAAAATAAGCCCCCTCGTTTTTCATTTCCTTTTGTGACTGATGTTTGTGAGCTGTTGTCATGTGTGAGTGAGTGAGACATCCCTTAGAGATGTTTTTATAAAGTAATTAATGGTAGAACATAAATGTGTTATGGTAGGATCAGGAAATCACAATCATTATCATGTGAAGGAAAATGTCCTAGAAAAGGTGTGAATCTCTTCTGCTTTAACCACCTGGCTGGACTGTGTGAATTTGTGCAGGAGATCTGTCCATTTACCACACAGGGTGATAATTCAAGTTGATCTTGAACACAGAAGTAAATGTGTTGAGATAATTTCATTTTATTAGGTATTAATTTAGGAAGAAATAAAACTCAAATATAGGAACAATAGCCATGTAAAATATTCACAGAGTGATTGCTGCAGAAATTTTATGAGGTTTCAAGTCATAAATTTCCACCTCAAGTAGAATTCCAAAGAGATTCTGCAAACGAAGGACGAATTTAGTGCCTGAAGTATCAGATTTGTCCTTAACATCTAAAATGTGGAATATGGGAAGGAATGGGGGAAGGATTCCTGGTCCTATTAGGTGAGGAACATGCTGGAACATTTTGGAGTTTTCAGCTCAGCCATTGCTGGATGTGTCTTTAAAAATACCACACCTGAGTGAATCATAGGTCACTCCTGCAGGCAACTTCATGCTCTCCAATTTTAGATTCTCTTCTGAAGGAAATGCTTCTGGATGGTGGAAGAAATGAGGAGTCTGGGTAGAATATCTTGGTCTAACTCTAATCCTTTGGGAAGCTATTTTGTCAGTATGTGCTTCAGTTGCACTTAAAAAATCAGGTGGTAAAAATGCAGGTGTAATTCTCAGTGTTTGATATTCTTTTAAAAACTTGTGAAGATTATAAACTAACCCAAAATGCCTCACAAACTGACTTCTGCAGTTTCAGTCTTTTCTTATATTCTGCTAAGAAGAAATAGTAATTTAAAATATTTCATCTGATGATAAATAACCTTTAGAATTTCTTACAGGTTGGAAGAATGAGCTGTTTTCTTCCTTTGGTAAAAAAGGAGAAATGCTGCATTTAAATAAAAGCCAAATACAGATGGATGGCTGCAGGAGCCTGCCTGGAAGTCTCCCTGGTTGATTATGCCAGACTAGAGATGGCAATCCAAAAATCATGCAAAAACAAAATTCCTATAAGCAGCTGAAGTCCCACTCCCAACTTCTCCACAGATGAAGGTAATGAGTTTGTTTGTTGTTTTTAATTAAAAGAGTTCTTGTTAGAGAACATGTTAAAACTGCCCTAAAAAGATAAATACTACAGATGAGCATTGCTCTTAATATAGGTGAGAAAGAAACCCTGGTGTTCTTAAGCATATTTGTTTTCTGGGCAGATGGGATATCTGTCTGGCCCTTTACAGTTGTGGGTGCTCACACTTCAAGGAGAGATTTGAATTCTTAATAACTCTTCTTTCTAAGCTCTAATGAATGTCCCAGTGCTGGGATTAAAAGATATGTTCCATTGACATGGGGATAAAGACTTTTTTTTTTTTTTACCTTTTCTGAATATGGTTAAGTATTTTTATTGGCACTTAGTAAGTTTTACACTTTGGTTTGAAAGTATTTTATAATATGCAACTTCACAGTCACTGGGCCCTTTTAAGATCAGCCCATCTTGAGCCTGAGTGCAGGGAAAATCAAGACTTGTCCTTTGGTTTTCATTTGTTTGAGAGATGTTGCCATTTCCAGCATTAATGGGGCACTGAATATTTGCAGTTTAAATTTTATGCCTGTTTTTGGAGGCACAAAAGAATTTAGGTCTTAGTAGTTTTAGCAGTGTAGAGAAAGGATTTGGTCCAAGTTCTCCTATCTTTAGCAGTAGTCCCCAGTAATAGTAACCTTTGGTTTTATTTCCAGCAGAGTCATATTGGTGTCATTAATGTAATACTGGAATTGTAAACTTCTTCCCAGCATGGTAATTCTTCATTTTAATATCTCACTGGGGCAGTTTTGTGCAGCTGAATTTGCATTTTCCTAGTAAGTTTAATAATGGTAGTATTAACTCTAAAAATGTGTGTTGTGCTTGTGTTGTTTTCTAGTTGCTTGTTAAGTTCAGTAACAGCAAAATATTTTATTTCTAGGTAACTTCAAAGAGGAATGCCCAGTGGTGCTTCAGTTTTTATTGCTATGAGTGGTGACATAGAGCATTTTCTGGAACATTGCATGCCCTCATGATGAAGATCTCCCTCCTGCAGCAGATGTACAAGGATGTCCTGGCAGGAATTCCCTTAGCCAAGGAAAGCCATCATTATTGCTCTTTACTTACTCTGAATGTTGAGCAGCCAGCAGGAGGAGATGAATCCTGTCACCAGAGGCATCTCCCACCTCCTGCTGCTGGTACTGGGAGCCATCAGGACACTGATGTGGTTGTCCCTGCAGCAGATGATTTATCAGACAGCTTTGCCAGCATGAGCTCCTCGCTCTGCCCCCGAGAGGTGATGCTGCTGCAGTTAACCCTGATCAAGGTGATGGTGGCCAAAGCAGAGTCCCAGCAAATCGAATCCAGCACGAGACTGAAGTACTGTGAGATCTTTGTCCTTCTTCTGAAGGAGGCAAAAACTGACTCAAAACTGGTAAGCTTGGTAAACTTGTGGAAGATTTTTGTGAGAGAAGGGAAAATAAAAAGGAACGTGCCTTAGATGCTTTTCCTTTCCAGGTTTCTCTGCTCGGTCCCCACGATCGGCTCTTATCCCACATGGCTTCCCAAAGTTTGGCAGCTCTGGTGTATTTCCAGCTGAAGGAAGAGGTGAGTATGGCACAACTTCACAACTGAAAAAATGACTGAGCCTGCAGGTCTCTCCATTTGGCTCTAAAGCAAGTTTTTATAGTGTTATTATTTTCCAAGAAATTAAGCTGTATTAGGAGGAGCCTGGAATACGGAAAGCAAGGAGATCAGATGTGTAGCAGAAGTGTGGAATGTCTTATATATAAAAATCTGGAATTCCATGAAACTCTTTTAGGGTAAAATGTGTGTAGATGACAAGAAATACTCTCTTTAAGGTTGCAATACAGGTATTTCATTATCAGTATTTTTACAGTTCCTTGATATTTGTTAGGTGATGCAGTAGATAACAAGTGACAACCTCTTGGAAGTTAATCAAATGCTTTTTTGTATTTTCTTGTTTCAATGTTCCAATTTCTTGAGGGTTTTTTTGATGTATATTTAGTGAATATATTTGCAGCCTCCATGGTAGCATCTCTGAACATGGATTTATCTCAGAACTATGTTTGTAATATTTCTCGCCAAGTTGTCTGGGTCTGGGAGTTATGAATTCAGATATGATCTGTTTACAGCATTATCTGATTTTGGGTGGGTCTCATGGCATGGGGAGGTTTGGTTTTTCCTTTCTGGAACATCCAGATAATTTCTCTTGCATTGCTTGTGTGACTTCACGTTTGCAACTAGAGGCCTAAGTACTTTAAAGGCATTGGACAGAGAGATTGTTTCTACCTGTGTTTTGTCTGTGCCTACATTTGAATCTTTTTACTGTACAATTTAAAATCATTGGTGTTATGATTTAATTTAATTTCCATAGCAATTGGAAACATATGCGATTTGTTTTTGAATCATTTTTCTTAGAATGCATTAAATGTCACCTGGCTCGGCTTTACTCTGAACGCTCTCTTGGGATTTCCCGGGAATACCCCGGTTGCAGATTGCCTGTGGACTCTGACAGCGATTATCAAGGAGACCCTGGGAGACGCGGTTTTACCCAAAGCAGGTACTGGGGCGATTTTGTGACGGTACCGCCAGGGGGAGCGATATCACCTGGAATTCATCGGGAGCGTGGGCTCTGGAACACCCACTCCCTTCCTTTGAAAGGGGGTATGAAGTGCTATTAAGATGTACTGGTTTAAACGTACTTAAAATCTGAAAGTAGTCCCAACACTTACTTTTACTTCTTATTCACTGGTTTATCTGATTGTGTTACACATCAGCTCAATAATGTGTTTTTTGTTGCCATAGGGGTTTTGAAGAAGTTGTTGGCTCCTCTTGATGCTGTGCTTGAAGGATTTTATAATACCATCCTGTTCCATCATTTTGACAGTCACCACTATACTTCACCTTATTCTGAAGCTACAACCAACCTAATCAGTTTTATAGATCTACTGGAAGCACTTTTGGCCTCCAGAACTGAACTGGAATTACCACTGAGGTGCCAGAGAGTGTTGTTTTTGAAAGTTTCTTGCATTCTGAACCTCATAAGCTCATCAATTCCCTATGTAATCAAGAAGAAATTCATTTTGCTCCTTAAAAAATGTGTCCTTCACAAGTCTAGAGAAGATGCTGGAAGTGGATCAGTGTCCTTACAAGCCCTGCCTCTGTGTGAGGATGTGCTTGCACTGAGCAATGCTGTTCTGCAGGTTGTGAGTTTAACTTGGCTTAATCAGATCCCACTTGATGAAAAGTCCAGCTACTTTGGAAGCAGTGAACCTGCTCCTGGAGATGATCCTCAGGGTGGTTCTGACCAAACTGTTCTCAGAGCCCTAAGTCTGGTTGTGCTTAAAGCACTGGAATTCAAGATTCACAACTCCACAGCAGAAGCAGAAATCAAAGGTAACAGTCCTTTTTTAGTTTTGCTCGTTAAGCAGAAGGTTTTAAAGCTTTCAGATTTTGTAATCACAGCTCATTAAGGCTGTAAATAATTTCAGCTGAATTAGTGGTGATGGGAGGGAGGAAGGAAAGAGAAGACCCACCCAAAGAACCTGCTGGTGCTGTGTCCTGCCTAACTGGTTGTCTCCTTGCGTTTTATTCAATCCCTGCAGTTTAGGGGGGCTGGAAACAGCTGCATTTGGGATTGAAAACTTTTCCTGTTTGGAACATGTGTTAATACTTGAAATAGCTGAGCCAGATTGGGAACATCAGGCTCTTCTCCAGTTGGAAAAGAAGTGAGTCCATAGCACAAGCATCTGTTCGGGGTGGGGAACTGAAAGGAACTGCAGGTAACACTCTTCTCTCTCTAACATGGAGGTAGAACTTTAGGTACCAATATGTATTTATTTTATTGAAAGTACAAGGCATTACTGTCAGACAGGTAATTTAATGAGGCAAAACCAACAGTGTGATAGAAAGGTAAATAAAAATAACGAAGCTCCAAAGTAAGGCACAGGGAAATTATGGGACTTACCATGTAATTGTAGAATGGCTTAGATTGGAAGGGACCTTAAAGATCAGCCAGTTCCAAGCCCCCTGCCATGGGCAGGGACACCTTCCACTGTCCCAGATTACTCCAAGCCCTGTTCAGCCTGGCCTTGGACACTTCCAGGGATGGGGCAGCCACAACTTCTCTGGGCAATCTGTGCCAGGGCCTCCCCACCCTCACAGGGAAGAATTCCTTCCCAATATCCCATCTAACCCTGCCCTCTGGCAGTGGGAAGCCATTCCCCCTTGTCCTGTCCCTCTAGGCCCTTGTCCAAAGTTCCTCCTCAGTGCTCTTGGAGCCCCTTTAGGCACTGGAAAGGGCTCTGAGGTCTCCCTGGAGCCTTCTCTTCTCCAGGTGAACCCCCCCAGCTCTCCCAGCCTGGCTCCAGAGCAGAGGGGCTTCTGATTTTGGAGCCTTCTCCAGGCTGAACACCCCAGCTCTCCAATGTCTCTGTGTCACCCCATGTCTCCATGGCAGAGGTGTCCAGCCCTCAGAGCATCTCCATGGCCTCCTCTAGACTTGCTCCAACAGGTCCCCATCCTTCTTATGTAAAGTGGTTGTGTCCTTCACCCTGACTGATGGGTCTGTCCCTTCAATTAGTAGGTGTGAGCATACCTTGAGCATTCCTCTCATACCTCCCTGCCTGAGTGTGTTTGTCCTGAGCTCAGGGATCAGACTGGGAGAAGGGCAGCCCTGGCTGCTGTGCTGGGATGGCAGGGAATGTGTTCCTGGGGGGAGAGGACGCGGTGCTGTGTCACCCTGGGAGCCCGGGAGCAGCCCTTCTCCCAAGCTCTAATGAGGCAGTGGGGTGAGGCTTTTTGCCTGGGAGACCTTCCTGGAATCCCAGCTTCCCACTTGCCTTTTTCCATCTGGGAGCACACGCTTCTGATGCTGTGCTGGGTGGATGTGGACGTGCAGATTCCATGATCAAAGCAGAGTGCTGTCCTGGATTGCATGGAAAAAATGGAAAGGCAGTTTCAGCTCTGTTCTGAAGCAGTGCTTCCAGTCAGATACAAGTGAGAATGGGCACTCCTGTATTTATTAGTCATAAATTTTTTTTGCCACATATTTCTTTCTAAACAAGGATGCAATTTTACAGCGTTTTAAATGCACTGAGACATTTTAATGCAAGTTCTAGATGTTATTTAAACGTGTAGCTAAAATGTTATTTTACTTTCTATATTTTTACACTGTTTAGGAAGTCTAAAAGTCACTTTTTAATTCATCTGTGCAAAAGAGCCACAGACTTCTGTAAGACAGCTTCTGACTCTTTTTCCAGATTTTGGAAGATGTTATATTTGTGATGCCAGTAGCATTCTTAAAGTTTTTAAGCATTGTAGAAGATATTTAACTTATGATCCACCTTCTGAAAAATGTATATATTGTCTAAGAACTAGTGGAAAGAACAAATGTAGGTTATATCTATTTTAGATGTCTCTGTGAAAATTCATTCTCAAAGAAAAAAAGTCTCCTTTCTTTTCCAGATTCGTGACACAAAAATGAGTTCTTTAATTAGATTCAAATACCCCAACTGTCAAGAGGAATTTCAGGTTGAGAGGGAATGGTGCTTCTATTTTAGTGACCTTAATTGAAGTGGTTAAAACAAGCACCAAAATTCTTTAATATGGTAACTCCCCTTCCAGGAAGCTGGTTGATTCTTTTTTTTTTTTTCCAACATGAATTAAAGTGGCTTAACTTTAATTCATTTCAATTTTGAGAGTCATTTCCTGATAGCTTTGATTTATAGGGAAGAATTTCGGTATTAATAACAAAGATAATTTGATGTTCCTGTCATTTGCTAGGAGGAATAGCAAATCTTAAAGTCAAACATTAAGGAAAATCATGTAGTGATGTGGTGAGTAAAACTGATTTCAAGGTTGCAGGAAGTTTTTCTGTTTTCTAAATATTGAATGTGTGCTGTGTTACCTCAAAAACTGATATTTAGTACTAGGATGTAGTACACTATTAGTATTGAAGATATAAGTTTTTTGACTCAAGGGAGTCTCTCTAATGATTATAAATAGTTATTTTTATGAGTAAGCTACTGCACTAAAATGGCAAGAACTAACCTAGAAAATTTGATGCTGTGTCAAATCAGTTGAACTAAGGAAAGATAAATGCATTCATGAACTGCTATTCACTGTTAATTTGAGAAATAAAAGGTGTATATGTTGTTTAGCAACAAAAAAAACCATATAGCAAAATTCATGCTTACTTCCTTTTTTTTTTTTTCCAGGAGACTTTGAGAGTTCCATGTCCCAGCTGGTGATGTTCTGGAGGAGTCACCTAAAGCCTTTCCCACAGTCTCACCCAGTTGTGCACCACTGTGAATGGCTCTCCTTGATTTTCATAGAGCAAGATGATGACATGTGGGAAGCTGCTAAAGCTTTATTACTCATTTATTTAAAATTGGATAGGTTAGTGTACTTTTTTTTTGAGAGAGAACTATGAAGAACTGTAATTTAGTGAGGCTGTTGTGATATAAATAACATTCCCATTGGTTACTTTTATATAAATCAAAGTTATTTTTGATAATTTAAAACCCCCAAACCTCAGGGCAATGTGATAATGTGTGATGTAAGAGCTGATGATTTGTTTAAATCTTTTTTTGGATTGAAACACGGGAGTTGTGAAACAATTTCTTACTAAATACTTTATCATATCCTGTATTTCAGGATAATTGACTTCACACCTAAAATAGTGGTTAGACAGATAAAAAGCAACACTGTTTTCTTAAAACACAGAGTTAGACAAGAATGGGATCTTAGACTTAAACTTCAAGAATTCAAGTACTTCTGACAGAGTTTCCAAGGATTGGGCCCATAGGAATTGTAGCTACTTGATAAAAACTTAATTGCTAACAACTGAAATGTGTTCTTCATGGATTTGTTCTGGACATTCAGTGCTTCATTGTTGTTTAAATTACCATACAAGATATTATCCTAATTTATACAAGTCCCTCAAGCTTCAGGTGTGAAGATATGGAAGTAATAAAAACACAAATCCTTCTTAGACACTTAACTAAAGTAGGCCACTCTTCCAATGTGCTTAACATCCTGAAAGTGTTCAGGTTTACAAAATTATTGATACAATACTATTTTATATTATGTTAAAACACAGTTGATGTGTTGTACCAGGATGTTTCCTAAGGAGTAGTGCCCTTTAAGCCCTGCTTTAAGTGCTTTGGCTTCCTGAACTGTCCAATCTCCAAGCCCCACGTGCCTTCGTTCCTTCTCGTTCTGATACAAAAACAGCTTTTTTTGGTTTTTTACTTTTTTGACAAAATTAAAAAGAGCAAGAATACCACCTTCTGGACACAGCTGTTTTTAAAAAGAAACTTGTAAACTTCCATTTCGTTGAGTGTATTTCATGCCTTGCTTTCCAGGTTACAACACGATGCTGCTGATAACTTAAGCCAAGAAGAGGAGGACTCCTGGAACATCCATACTCATGCAGGTGGATACAATCCACACTGTATCTTCTTATTTTTTCTGGAAAAGATTGCATTTGATTCCTCAGTGCTTCTAGATTTTTTGATTTCATCAGAAACTTGCTTTCTGGAGTACTTAGTAAGGTATTTAAAGCTGCTTAGGAGAGAGTGGCACCAGTTCGTAGCTGTCTGTAACCATTTTGATACCAAACACGGCGCTTTGCAGTCCGTGTCTCCTGCCAAGCCACCCCACCCAGAAGAGCAAAGCTGTGTGACTGCTGAGAGTTTGCAAAACGCTGGTTGTGAACCAGCCCCACCGACTCCGCTGTCTTTGTCTTCCTCTCCCGATCGCTGCGTGTTTGCAGCAGAGCGAGGTGCTAATGAAGCCGAGTCTGACTCACTGATAAGCGCCGATAGCGCGGCTCGGCCGGGGGCTCTGCCGGGCTCCCTTCAAAGCCTCCTTAATTACGACAGCTCAGAAGACTCCGAGTTGGAATCAGATGGAAAAGAGTGCTTGGTAAACACAAAGCAGGTGCCTGCAAACAATGAGGGGGAGAAGAGGAGAAGAGGAACTGGTTGCAGCTACACGGCTGATAACTGGAAAATCTGCACGTCTGAAGTGTTGCCTCTGAAACAGGAGGGGTCTCATCCCTCATCCTGTTGGACTCGTATGACGTCCTTGGATAACATCATTCCCTTAAGAATAATGCTTTATAAATCAACCAAGTGCTTGGAAGAGCTGCAACAAGCTATTTCTAGGTTGCAGAGAAGAAATCTTTTCCCATATAATCCGACAGCGTTGTTGAAACTACTGAGCCACATTGAGAAGATGAGGAAAAACATGGATCCACAATAATCCAAAGCATTCTGGTGGGGTTTTTTTAACTGGTACACCAGGGAATATTTCCATGAGACTAATGACTTCTGCAGCTCATGCCTCTTGCACTAGTCAGTGTATTTAACCTCAGGCAGGATAAACATGTTTTTGGTTGACACCTTAAAAATCTACAGTTGGAGCCAGTGATAAGATCCATGACCTGAGAGTCCTGGGCTTATTCATGGTATGTATTCAGTGTACAGTATATAAGGATTAATTGTTAGGCATTCAAAATTTGATAATAAATGGCCAGTGTGAAAGCACATCAAAAATACATGATACTTTAAATATTGTCAGTTATACTTAATGTCATTCTATTTATGAATTCATGGCCAAATTGGTAGTGGGTTATGGACTACAGGGTGGAGTTAATGCAACACTTCACAGAATGCTCTCAGTTGGAAGGGATCCACAAGGATCATCGAGCCCAACTCTTACATGAATGGCCTGGACAGGGATCAGACCCCAGCCTTGGTGTTATTAACACTGTGCTCTAACCAGGTGAGCTCATCTCAGGGTCTTGACTGCTTAGAGGCTGAGCTAAATAAAAGTGAGAGTTGTGGTGTTTATACTGTGTGTTCAGCATCAGTGCTTGGCTCTAAGTGCACCTTCACATGTGTATATTACTTTAATTAAAAGAAAAGGTAGATGTGAAACTAATGCATAAATGTCTAATTATGGAACACTTCAGTGGAGGATTATATCTTAATTAAGTTTAGGTAGTGTAGAAGTGAAATTCCAACAGAATTTCCTGCATCCATTGTGCATTTCATGTAAGTATAGAATGTACACTTAGTAAATTTGTTAATTCAGAAAGATAATTAAAATTAAGTGACTCCAGTGCAGTGAGATGGATATTTAAGATACTAAATTATGTTTTTTTTTTATTAGATGTAATTTGAATAACCTGAAAAGTGAGTGTCTGAGAGTTTGCTTGAGGGGAGCAAGTTCAGAACAGGATGCAGCTCAGTGTGTGCACTTTGCAGGAAGGCACCTCATGTTGGGACATTTAAAGAGCAGCTTGTAGTGATCCTGCAAGGGTTGGGCAGAGGGAAAGTACTGACAACAGGAATGCTGGAAACATCTCAGACCTCCTCAGAACTGTGAGAAAGAGTTTTCCTTCTAGGATCTTCTCTTGAAGGTAAGTGCTTGGTTCTCAATCAGAACAGAGCGTGTCCTCTCTTCCATTTAAGTAGCTGTTTAGTGTTAAATTAAAATAAATACTGAGGTAGGACAAAAACGGTGTGTGGAGCAGGTGACTGACCCACAAATCTCTGTGGCCATCTTCTGGTCTTGAGCTCTGAACTGGTGAATCAACACTTTTGGCAGGGGAAGAAAACTGGGTGAAGCTTATGGGATAATTTAGCTGGAAATTACAGTGCTCTCCAGGATGACAGTGGTAATCACTTGGCAGTTAGATGGGAAGGAGTGATCCTCTTCACTGGCCTGAAGGAGATCTGAATATTCTGAGTGTTCACTGTACTTTGGGTTCTTCCTGAGATAACTGTTGTTCAGAGGAGTGGGTGAGAATGTCAAGGAATGGAACCCTTAGTTAAGAACTGCCCTTGCAGTTGTCCAGGGTACAGACATGCCTGGTTTCTCTCCACTGTTTGAACTCAGTTGTGCTCTGGATGCTGAGTTGCTCATTTCTATCAGGACTAAAATCCCTCTGGGCATATTCAAAGATGCAACTCCAGACAACTTGGGAACTTTTCAGTTCAAACATGGGAAGTGCCTTTGGCGAGGTGCTTGAGCAAGCGTTTCTCAAGATCACGATTGTAAAAGTAGGTAGGTATATTTCAGTGAAATCTTTTCCACTCTCCTCACTTCTTTTCTAATCTAGCCTTTGCTGACTAGTTTATTTAAACTGAGCAATTCCCTTGTTTTCACTGAACACAGGACTGTTCAGCATTTCTTGATCCAGGCTTGGCCAGTTGGAAGCACCTGAATTGCAACAGTGTTTCTCAGACACTGATACGATAAGGTCGGTGGGAAAGGTAAAATGGGGAGATAATTTTGGATGAGTCCTTGTCTTCTTGTTTATCAGTAATTACTACAACTATCTAAATGTTTTTAAAGTAAAAAGTTTAGACATCTCAGTGTGTAAAATTTAGCAAGAAATGTAGGAGCCACAGCTTGATATTTTTTTTTTTTTTAATACAACAAATTCAATTGCAATCCAACTGCATGTAATTCTTACAGGCTGTTTGTGTGCCCAGTTGGTTATTAGTAGTGATCATTCCCACATGTTTCCCTTCTCAGAAAGCCATTGTTTTAATTCTCAGGATTTCTCAGTTGTAAAAGTGAGTAAATGTGGTTTGTATCTGGCAACTAGATACCTTAATGTGTTGATATTTTACCATTTATGAACTGTAGGACCTGAGGTGGAGTTAAATCAATGTGAGTCGAGGTTTTTTTATTGTACTATATATTTTAATTATTTTACTGTACTATATGTCAAAATGAGTGTGAGCCATGAAGGTGGGTATTAGTTCTGTGTCTGTATTCAAAAAGCCAAGCACAAAGAAAGCACCTGGCAAAAGAAATTGTATTTTAACCCATTGAGTATATGAGGTGGGATGGTTGGGGTTTGGTTGGGGTTTTTTTACAACCTAAAATTTTTAGGCAGAGCTGTTATTTCATTGCTAGAACAAATTAATTCAGCTGCAGAACGTATTACCAATGTAAATATTAGGAATTAGGTCACTACTAGGATATTTATGTGCCTTACCTTTGGATATTGGTATCTATCAACTTTTCTTGTATTATGTTGAAGCAAGAAACAGAATAAATCAGGTGGCCTTTGTGGAGACAGTTTTCTATGTGAGGACTTACCCTGAAATGTCCACAGTCCCCATTTTTGCTGTTGTTTTGAGGATTTTACTTTAAACATCAATAGAATAAATTATGCTTTAATGAGGTAAGCAGTTGGCATTAGAAGTTGCTCACAGGATGTGCTTTTTAAAAAGAATGTTTTTTTAACTTGAATGTTTCTAGAGCTTGATTGCAGCAGTTACAGCTGAATCCAGGTTGTGGTTCTTCAAACTGGATTTTCTCCAATAATTTTACGACTGCTTTCCATTCTACTTTTAAGACTTGTAGTACAAGTTTTAATCCTGTAATACAAGAGTAAAAACCAACCTTGGGAAATTCTATACTTATGATACCCTTGTAAAGCTGGGAATAAGGAGCCTTGGCTGTTCCCTGGTTTATCACTGCAGGATAAGCTTTGTTTGTACTTCTTCCAGAGTCAGTGTGGGATGGTGTCTGAAGTCACAATCAGGGATTTATCAGTGTCTGTAGGAGTGAAAATATTGTGGTTATTACAGTGTTGATTCTCTGTATTTTCCCTTAGGAGTTTGTAAATTCTTGTTGTATTTTGTACAACTCCTTTAGGCCACCTGATTCACTCTGAAGTCTTGTTAGAAGCCAGCAGTGTGTGTCAGAGTGGATAACAGGCAGGCTTTTACTGTCACCAGCTCAGCATCAGGCATGGGCCTGGACTTGGTTGAGAAACATCTCAGGGATTTAAGCTTTTCCAAGCCATTATCTTCTTAAACGTTGTGTAAATTAATTTATTGCTGTTAAGTGTCAGAGATGCTCTTTAACAGAGAGATGGCTGGCTGCTGGCTCACAGCAAGGGTGGAAGGAATACAAGAATATATTTTATGGCAAAAATCTTGCATGGAGAATTACAATATCCTTAGTTATTGTTGGTTGCTGCTTTCCATAACATGAGTTTTGTCAGTCAGCAGTGTCCTTTTAGGAGGAAAAAACATGAAATGTCTGAAAGTAGAACACACAACCTCAAAAGTGAGCAGTGCTGAATGTTGGCTCCCTTAAAGTTTGTAGGGAAGGTTTCCATGTACACATCCTGAAATTCTGTCAGGAGTTGTAGCTGCCAATTGGAGTTGTCCAAGGATCTGTCCCATCTCATCCTGGTGCTAAAGAGTTGAAATCTGATCACTTTTTATGGAGTTGAGAAGAAATTCCAAATGCCCATGGCTAATTAGAAGGAAGTAATAGCTACATGTTAAAAAATGAGTAATTTTAAGTCTATTTTGCAAAAATAGAGTATATTGATCAAGGAAGAAAGATTTGTTGTCAAATGACAAAATGCAGTGTCCTTATTTCTTTGCTTGCTGATTTTTATCTCCAAATATAACCTTCAAATGGGTTTGTCAGCTCTTAGAATAACTTTGTCACTGCAGACCTTTTATGGCTCTTTGCTGTTGGGATTTAACTGAAACAGAAATTAATGTTTTCTGGAAACTTACCTGCAGTACTTGGTTTCCTTGGTGGTATTTATATACTTCAGGAAAATCATGTGTGAAAGCAGTGTTCTCTCTCTGCTGACTTTCTGTGAGAGTTGGGTGAAGATCCATTGAGCAGCAAATGTAAAACTCAACCAGTTTTTTTAAAAAATTATTTATCTCCTTGAGAGAAAATCTGGTACTTGGTCACCTTCAACAGAGCATTGGTTCCTCTAAAGGAGTATTTCTTCACCTCAGCTAAAATTATTGAGCAGCATGATGCCCATCTTTCCTGGATTTGTCATTTAGGAGCTGCTGCAGAGGTGGGAATTGCTGGGTGTGAAGCATCAAAGGAGTTGCCTTTCAGTTGCACCGAGCAAATGCTTGTGTTTTGTGTTCTCTGTGGGTGGATCAAGATTGATGCTCCGAGAGTCTCCCAGGAATGTAATCAAATGTTTGCAGCATTGTCTTACCTGCAAGTGTTACAAATTGTTGAGGTTTATTTTCATACAGTTGTTAAACCAGTGCTTCCAGCTCCAAGGATCAACAAGGCATTTTTTTTTTAATCCTGTGTTATTTGGACTGTTGGAAATGAATTAAGAAACTCTCTGAACTGATTGGATTAATTGTTAAATCTCTTAGTTTTGCAGCCAGAAGATTGTGTGTAGTAGTCTCCTGCATCTTAACATAGGAGTGTTATTTGGGGGGAATACAGTATCTGGGGTGGAAAGGGTGAATTATATTTATATATATATATATATAATTTTTGTTTGCTTTGTAAGCACCCAAAGTTACTCTCCTTGCTAAATTTGCCTTTTCAAATATATTGGAACAAACTCAGTGCAAGTACCTTCTATAGCTGTGCAGTTATATCCAAATTGCTGTGGTGTTTCTGGTTGCTGGAAAGGGGGATTTGACAAGTATGGACAAGCTGATTGCTAAACTGAGGGGAAAGAAAAAAACCTCCTCACCAAGGATAATTTAAAGACAACAGAGGACCAGGGTTTTGCATAAAGAAAGCCAACTAAATCATGTGTACATCTCTGTGCCTCTGGGTTTGAGAGGACTGTTCCTTCCTGTCCAGGAGGGTTGTTGATACACTCTGTGTTCAGGATTTAAATTAAACACAGCCCAGGGTTTGCAGCTTGAAAGAGGGAGTATAATTGTGGTGTTCCTGCCCCTCAATTGAGTGTGTGAGAGAAGCTGGTTACAAGGCAGTCCCCAGGGAATGTCATTGTCTTTTCCTGGAGCCCTTTTCCTAAGGCACATCCAAAGCCTATGGCAGCTTGGATCAGCAGTAGAGTGTGTTGGTGTCCCTTCACTTCACTTTCTCCTCCCAGGATTGCTGCTGACATCCTCTCTTTATCCAGTTGTCATCTTCCTTCTTATTATTAAAGCCCAGATTGTCGAAGTTGTGAGTTTTCTAATTCTGACTAAAATTCACGGGAACCAAGTTCTGAAACAAGAATTTTAAAAGATTTGACAGTTCTGAAGATTTCAACCTATGTGTTCAAATCCTGTCTCCTGATTTAGTCCTGCAGTGGCATTCATGGGTGATAAATATTTATTACCTTAATGCTTGCTGTGTTCAAAATCAGGTATCTAGTCTTCAGTTATGACAGAATGCATTACTAATTACTGATTAATTAATAATGAAACCACTCCTTAGTGAACATCTTCCTGTATGGATCTGGATTATGAATCAGGTCATACTGGTAAGAAAGGGCTTGGGGAAAAAAGCTTTTTGAGAGATTGTAAATAGACTTTTTCATCCCTGTTTATGTAAGGAAAGGTTGGTCTATTAGGAGAAGGTTTGAATTCCTGTGGAGAGGAGCTTAGTTTTTAAACTGCAGATTGCAAGGTTGTGAGTTATGATATTGATGTCCTTGGAATGATTAATTTTCAGGTATTTATTGAGTCTTGAGGAGTAAAAAAATATAGGAATGTCAAGTTGTTCTGCTTTAATCTTGAAGGAATGGCAAGCAGGTGGGTTCCACTGGCGGTGAAAAGAGAATTCAGAGGCCAAATTATTAGTTTTGTATCAAATTGATTCCTGCTCTTTCTCCATGTATACATATGGCTGAGATTTGATTAACTGTCTGCTATTGAGATAATCAATTAGCAAAAACAGTTTGGCACTAATAGCAGTATATTTAGAACATTTTTTTTGGCTCCCCAGATTAATTCAAGGGTTTTTTTATATGAAAGAAAACAAAAGAAACCCTTAGGGGTTTGGGGGATGGTTTTGGTGTGGTTTTTTTCTTCTTTCCCCTTCAGGTACCACCACACACAACAGCTCTGATTGTAGAAGTTTAAGATTTAATACTGTCTCAAAGATTTGCCAGCAGGGTTTTCCCTACTGAGAAATTTAACTAATACTATTAACTCTCTCATGTAACTGCTTGGAAGCTCAAAGGAGAGCTCACACCCAGTGGATTCACTGTAATTTATTGCATCTGTTTAACTGGCTGGAAAATACGGAGGTGAATTGTGACATTTTGTGAAAGAAGTGAATTTTTCTTGTTTTGTTCTAATACTCTTTTTTACTGAGAACTTATACATAATTTCCAGTGATATGTAAAATAATTGAGTCAAACCCATGCCCCCATTATCTATTTATATTTAGTTATCTTATTATATTTGGTTATATTTAATTTTCCGGTGACTGAGTAGTTGTTCTGCTGCAAGTAAGGAGTAGTAACACTTAGATTTTTAAATTTTCTCATGGAGATGTACAGACTAAGGTGCTTTTTCGTTTCATGTCATTTTTTTTTTTTTTTGCAGCATTCAAATTGAAGATACCTGAAGGGTGAGCACTATGAAAGTGCAGTGGTAATTGCCAGGCCAGTGGGCACTTTGATCAAGAGGGTATGGTTAGCTTGGCATTCACCATGTAGTATCTTTAATCTTGTAATAGCCTCCTTCACAGGTGGTGAGTGCTACCCAACAAATGCTCCTCAGAAAGGATGAACATGTTTTCCCATTTATTTTTTTTGGTAGCAGTCCCACACTTGCTCCAGTCAAACAAACTTGTTTTTGGTTGTTTACTGTAACAGTGAAGAAATTGTGGATTTAGGCATAAGAAAGGTGTTGCTGCCAGTTGGCTATTCCATTACTGGCACAGGATTAGCCAAGTGATATATGAATCAGCTTGCTCTAGGCTTTCCTAATTGGCAGAGGGTTCCTAAATCTTCTGCTTGGTTCACAGCAGTGGTTTGTTCAGATGTGGGAAATTATGGAGATCATTTAAAGCAACAGCAAAGCCATACTCCTTTCTGAAATAATCCTTCATGTTTGATGCTTCTCTGGTGCATCAGGTGATTGAATACTGCTCCCAGTTTTATGGAAGGACCAAAGACCTGCAATAGCTGCAAGATACAAAACCTCAAAGAAAAAAATAAACCTGTGTGAGCAAACCCACACTTTTCTCTGGGGGGAAATAAATGAACAGGATCCAAATATTGCCTGGGTCACACATCTCCTTTCACTGCAGGCTTATAGATTGAAATGAAAGTCTCAATGTGCTCCAAAGGAGTTGTGGAAATGAAGGCCTTGGGGGGGGATACTCTCCAGAGTTATTTCCATAGACACCATCTGTGATTTAGGAAGTCTTGGAGCCCAGACCAGTGAAGGCTGGGAGCATTATCAGTTACTGTTCCATGTTTCTTCTGTTCTTGTGCTCCCATGTCATGGGTTGATGTTTGCTGACTGCAGAGCAGGAAGAAAGGGCTAATAAGAGGTTTTCTTCTCCCTTTCCAACAATATTCTGCCCATCAGAATGCAAAGTAATGCCAACCCTCCTGAAAGCTGTTATTTAGGATTTGAAATTGTTGAGAGCTGCTGAGGGGTGACTTTCATCCTGATTCCTTAGTCATGGAATTAAAAAAAAAAAAAATTAAAAATCACACAGGTTAAAGTAAAACTGATGTGTTTATATGGGATCTGTAACCAAACACACACTCAGTGTGTGCTTCCCTCGGAAATTCCATTTTATATCTTCTGAGGAACTGGAACACTTGTAAAACATTCAGTGGATTGAGGCTGGAAGTATTGCTGAGACTGGTCAATAGGAACAGAAACCTTTCTCTACCTTTATTTAAAACCCCCCTCTTCATCTAATAACACCTCTAAAAGCTGGCAGAGTGAAGGGATGCGTTTGGCGTTTCCTGCCCCCTCAGAGGCGCCGCATCCTCCCGGAGCGCGTGTGGAGCAACACAAGGTGAGACAAATTCTCAGCCTGCAACAAAACACCACGTGGCTTCAAACATTTCTTCATCTCTCCGTGTTGAAAGGAGCAGCAGGGAAGGCAGGGAGGCTCTGCTGCTCCCGGGTTTCAGGAGTGGATGGGGATGACATCAGGAATTGCCCTCAGTCAGAAATCTTGAAGCGCAGCTTTGCTGGGTGGGTCTGGGAGGAATTTGAAAGGGTTCTGGAGATAGGGCGTGTTTACCTCGGTCAGAGTAGGGAGTGTGATGCCTCTTCCCTGCTAATGTGCTTATGGTCTCTTTGGCTGCAACATCATAAAGGTAGGAATTCTTTTTTCCTTTCCTTTTTTCCTGTTCTAGTAGGTTTTGTTGGGTTGGGGTTTTCCCCTCTCCTTACATCAGGCTCTGCTCTGAATTGTCAGCATGTGCTGCTATCTAACACTGTTTTATTAGAGTATATCATCTTCAGGTAAAGAATGGGGTGGCCTTAATGAGATTTATATGTTGCCACTAAGTATTCCAACCTATGAGAACTGCTTTTTGTTGGGAAAAAAAAAAGGTAATACAGGTTACAGTAGCAGTTTTGCTTTTCTGCTTCTTGTATCATTATCCTGTTAAGTGCTTGTAAGAGCACTTCTTTCTGAAGTGGAAGGGAGGAATATTTATTAACAAGGAAAAAGTGTTAATTAATGAAATAGATGTGATAATGTGGAAGAAAAAACGTTGAATTTAAGGTGCTTAAAAAAGGTAGTTCTAATTTTGTTCTGTAAAATGCTAAGAAAAACAAAACGTTCTTTAAGAAATTCAGTTTAACAGAGGTTTTGTTTTTTTTCTGTAACACTTACCTGTTGAGGATCTGAAGAAGCTAGTGCTATAAATAACACATCTAAACAAGTGCCAGAAAGGGTTACTTCACAGTAATGCTACAACATTCAGCTGGAGCAGCCCCAGTCACATTTTCCTCTCGCTTTTTGCAGTGTATTTCTATTTTTCACTACCTTCCTAGCTCAGCCCTTCACCTGGGGTGCCACTGCTGATGAAGAGGCTTTGCTGGTGCACATTTAACTCAAGATCTCCCTTGCATTTGTTAGGACATGAAAAGGATGTCAGAGTGGTTGAAATAAGAAAGACCAGTTCCGTTCTGGCTCCTCCTCCAGTCGGGTTTGTGGGTGGGGAGTGTCTGGGCAGGTTAAGCTGCAAAGGAAGGGGGATAACCAGGAGGAGAGCTGGGAACAGTGGAGCTCACCAGCCTTGGGGTACCTGCTGGGTCAGGGGGTGTAGAGACCATCAGTGTCCAAGTGTGTGTTATTCTCGAAACTTCTGTTTCAGGAAGCTGCAAATAGAGTTTTTCAGAGCACAGATGCACCAGCCCTGTCCCCTTCCTGCCTTCCAAGGCCTAATTTAAAACCTTGAGTCATCCACCGGTGGTGGAGAAGCCTCTGCACCCTGAGGTCTCTCTTAGTTACTCACTATTCTACTGTTTTCTCATGTTTTATGGTGCTGCTGTACTTCTAATAATGCACTTATCCTGATCACTCTGTACCCCTGTGCCACTCGATTCTTCTCTGCCCTTACTTCTTTAAATAAGTGCCCATGAAGAGTCACAGTTCTGGGAAAATCTCCATTATAAAACAGCACTTTAAGCTGCACTTCAGGTTTTTATTTCAAATAGAACATTGTTAAGCTACAAAAAAAAAAAAAATCCCTTTTGCATCTTTCCCTAATAGTAATAATTTGAAGAAAAGTGTCATAATTTAAAAGATTTTTCCCTGCATTCTGACAAGTGGTTACCAAGTTCTTAAAGCATCAAGTGTTGTTCCTTTAGGTTTGTTCAAACTTTTCATGAATTAAGTGTCTATTAAGAACCTGTACTTTGGATAGGGTTTGGTTTTTTTCCAAGGACTACTTTCATCTCAAAATTATTGCAGATATTTGAGTTATTTCACAGCTTTTTATTCCACTCTGTCCATGTTATGGATTTTTAAAGCTTAAAAGTGGACATAGTTTGCACTGTAATTGTATAGTGAGAGAACTGTATTTCACTTTCCTCAGCAGCCTGCTGTCAGCTAAAACCATTTCAGCTGCTCAAAAATGATTTACCTTTAAGTAGAGACAGCATGGGAACTTTCACCCAGAAAATGATTCATTTCAAAGAAGTCTGGTTCACTTTTTTTTAATCTTTTTTTTCCCCAGAGAACAGGGAAAAAAATAGAAAACCCACTTGCCACCTTAATTGAGATTTATTCAAAGTGCTGTTTTAGCCTGCTCATGGTAGTACCCGAGTTACAAGGTAATGAGAAGGAGCAGTAAAAGAAGTAAAATGCTGTAATTGCCCCATAACTGGGCACTTAAACTGTTTACAGCTGAGATTTGTACAAGTGAGGGAGTAAATGTGAAGTTAAAGGTCTTGCAGCAGTCTTAATTCAGCTGCTTTATGTGGATGGAGCTCTCCAGGGTTTCACTTCAGGGTTTCACCATAAGAACCTCCAGGTCCAACAGCTCCTTTATTCCCGGCTGCCGCCGGTGGGATTTGGGGGCTGGGGGAGATGTCAGGCTCAGGTTGGGCAGAATCCAACCGGAATCATGTTTGCACATTTGGGAAGACAACACAGGAAGGGATGGCAGCATCCATCCAACATCCTTCCTTCAACTCTTTCCTCCACAAAGCACACGGCCCAACATGCAGGACCCACATCTGTCCACCTGTTCCATGCTGAACATGAATGTCTGTAGCAAAACACTGATCTGCTGCTAAAACTTGTGTGCTTACTCTTGGATATATTTCTGAGTCTCCAGCAAAACCCAAAACAAAGTCATGGTATGGTGCATCTGATTTTTATTTACTCTTTTACACTTCTGTTTAATGTTGATGATTAACAGCCCGAAACAACTTTGCTATCTCTTGGTATCTGAGAGACTTGATTTTTTTTTTTTCCCAACAGTCACTGCAGCAGCTTTACCAGTTCTGCCAAATTATGAGTGAAATAGGAGAATTATGTTATTCTTGCTTTTTGCTGATTACATTCTTTCCCTGCTACACCTCTGGAGCCACAGACTAGACTGATGTTTAAAAATTAAGGTTTCTTTCACTTGCACGTTCGTGTTGTTGATCCATTGTGTTTTTTCTAATTTGTTCAGTAAATAAGGATAGGAAATGCTCCCAACACACCCTGAAAACCTGGGTATCACCTTCTCTCAGTCTGGCTTTGGAAAGGCAGTTTTTGCACACAAGAGCTTTTGTGCAGAATACAATCAAAGCTTTGGCTTTGTTTCTTTTTATTAATTCCTCAGACTGCAGCAGCCAGAAATTTCACTTCAAAGCAGCTCCTGAATTTGTTTTGCAAAATGCAGCCACATAGCTTTTGTCAAACCCAAATATACCCTTTTTTTTTCTTTTGCTTAATGGTGTTAAAAATCAGGTTTTTGGGTTCTTTTATCCAATATATCAAGGATTCAAGAATCAGGGCTTTGAAAGAAACTTCACATTGGTACTTTCCAAGTGTGTAGGCTTTTCTTTAATTATAAAGGATGCAGTTCCTGAAGCAATCATTCCTGATTTTCCTGTTTTGCACTAACCCATTTAAAACTAGATTAGGCTACAGAGGAGATCCTTCTGCAGCAAGGTGATTAGATTTTTTTACTTGGAGTATTTAATTTCTGAGATGCAGAGGAACCTCAGTTTTCTAAAATATCTTCATTTTATTGTTAGACTGAATTTTAGCCCCTTCTAGAGCAACACTTCTAGTTTTGTCAATGAATCCTGGCAGTGCTGGCGCATGGATTGGGATCTGGGAAGAGGCAGAGGTTTTTTTCAGCCTTGCCTGGGTAGAATATGAGTCACCTGCTGTTGTAATTTCTCACTCCTGATTGTTGGTGCTGCTACAAGCTCCAAGGAAAAGCTCTGAGCTCAGCACCAGCAATAGGAGGTTCAGGCTGGGTTGGCTTTAAAGCTGCTTGTAAGAGCTGGTCCCAAATCAGGCCAAGCTGGGCCTTTTCCTCCAGTGCCCATTCTTTGGAAGCAGCAGAGCAACTTGTGACACTTCATGCAAGCTAAAAAGATGAGCTGCTTTTGAAATCTGGTACTTGCAGCCTGATCCCTGGGCTGGAACTGGTGGCCACTGGTGTTCCCCACCTTTGAGGTGCTCCAGGAACCTCATGATGGGACCTGAAGGGAGACAGGAAAACAGCCCAACTACTTTATAGCTGCTGTTATGGAGATGGGAATCTGTAAGATTTCCTGGGGAATGGCCTGATGTGCTGCAGTGAAAACATCCAATTTAAGGGTAATGAAACTTAAGAATAGGCTGCAGACAGATTTGGAATCTCATCAACAGTTTTCTAGGAGTTACTTGGACAGTGTTCACCAGGGATGGTCTGACCCCCCCTCCATGTGCCAGGCAAGTCCTGGTACAAGTACAGGATTTACAGAAGGAAGAGTTTCAGAGAACCCACCTTTCAGTGAGTCATTTGGTGTTTGTGGGGAAGGATTTCTCCTGAATCTGTGAACTCCAGAGCAGACCTCAAATCCCAGAATTCCCTTAAATTTTAAGATCAAGCATGTGCTTATGAGCTTAGTTTAATAGTGCTATATTAACGAGTTTAAGAGGTAATCATATGGTGAGGCATCCGTGTGTGGAAGGAAAACATGAGCTGGTGAGATCCCAGGAATCCAATATGAAAATATGCACTGCTGGGTTTTCCTAAGGTTTTGGGTGCATGTTCTGTCCCAACCCACCTCCCCACAATCCAACTGGGAGTGCTCTTTCCACTGTGCTGTAACAGACTGACCTATTTTTATTACAGTTTGTGGTAGTTTGCAGTGCACAGCCTAGTTAAAAAATATAGATATATTAGGGAGCAGAGCTGTGTAATGAGTCTCTCCCCTGGTCTTCCAGGGCAGTTTGTCTGCCAGCCTTTCTGTCTGACCCAAATGTCCTGTTTCAAAGCCCTGCTTCACTCTGATGGCGCCTGTGAGCTGTTGTTAAGGGTCTGGGAGCAGCCCCGGGATAAATCCCCACTTCCAGGAGTTTATAATCCAGCAGTAAAAACTTGCTCTAGGCTGAAACTTGGCATATAAAGTCTGAGTGGGGGAACAACTGTGATTTCTCCCTCCTTTATTTTCGCAGTTGGTTCTACACACATGATTTATTGGGAAGGTTTTTACTGTCCCCATTTGGTGTTTAAAAAGATTAAATGGTGAGTAATTAATGGCTTAGTTCTGACTACTGGGCTTGGCCAGGAAATGGATCCACAGTGGCTGTTTGGTGGGTCCAGGTCACAGTTTCCCAGACCTGCTGCAAGGCTCCAGCTTAGTGGAAACAGAATCACAGAATGGACTGGGTCAGAAAAGACCTCTGAGATCATCGAGTCCAACCTGTGACCCAACACCACCTTGTCACCCAGCCCATGGCACTGATGCCACATCCAGTCTGTCCTTAAACACCTCCAGGGACAGTGACTCCACCCCCTCCCTGGGCAGCCCATTCCAATGGCTGATCACTCTCTCTGTAAAGAATTTCTTCCTGATGTCCAACCTAAACCTCCCCTGGTGCAGTTTAAGGCTGTGCCCTCTTGTCCTACTGCTGGTTGCCTGGAAGAAGAACCTGCCCCCCACCTGGCTCCCCCCTGCTGTCAGGGAGTTGTAGAGTGAGGAGGTCTCCCCTGAACCTCCTCCTCTCCAGGCTGAGCCCCCCCAGCTCCCTCAGCAGCTCCTCACAGGACTTCTTTGAACACACTCCAGCACCTCAGTGTCCTTCCTAAAGGCCAGTGATGGTTCATTTGGCTGTACATTAAAGTGGGATCCATTCCAGATCCGGAATGCCAGGGTGAGTGCACTGAGCACCTGACCCAGCTCCAGGCATCACTAAAGCCCTGTGGCCCCTGCTCAGATATGGAGGGACAGGAAAAAGTCTGAACTGCTGTCTGACCTCAGCATGATTTGATCTTATCACTTGATCCCCTACAAAGATATTGCTGTTGGATCTTCCAGTGGGATGCTGGGAGGAGACCTGTTTGAAATCCTCCCAGCTCAGCTGTTTCCTCATCAAATCTGTGGTTCAATGGGATCAGCTATTTCCTCATGTTTTTCCTGGTTTACAGAAAATCTTAGTATGGAAAAATTTATTTAAATTTATTATTCCCTGAAATGATAGAAAAATGGTGTATTTCAGCCTTATGGAAAACATTGTAACTTCTATTTTTCTTCAGTGTTAGGATGATCCTATTTTTATAGGACATATAACATGTTGGTACTGTGAAGTCCTTACAGCTAAATGAGTGAGAACAGAAATTTCTAAATACATAATTTTGAATGCAGAGGCTAAAAATGAGACTTTTACAAGAATGAAATATTTTTGTTGAAGTGAAATCTTTTTTTTTCCTTCCAGAACTGGTTTTAGACATTTTGTTCTGATCACAGTTAAATCATGGTACTTCCTGCAATTCCCAGAAAAACTTGCTATGCACTGTATTTTTTTTCTACTTGTTCCTTTGCACAGGTGTCTGCAAATTCAGGATATATGGCCATTAGCATATTAAACAGTGGTAATTGAACAGCAAAATGTCCTTATTATTACAGAATTGAGTTCCCCCTGTACTTTCTCATTTCTTTTCCACTCTTCCACCCTGTTATATTTAATCTGTGAAGGCAGCCAGGGGAAGATCAGTTCTCATTAGTATTGGTGTGATAGATTATAAATTGTTATTGCAAGTTTGAGCAGGTACTAAGCAGTCCAGTGTGAGTGGCTGAAATGAGACCCCAGATTACCTCCCCTTCTGCAGATTTCAAAGGCCTGCATTGGTTTATACCAACTCAGAATTCAGCTCTATTATTTCATCTTCTGCTGGGTTATGATCCCACTGAGAGGGTTTCAGCTTCCTCTGTGATTTTATTTTTTCCCCAAGCAAACTGACTTCACTGGCTCTACACAATAATATGTTTTATTTCATGCATTTTCTTTTTAGTACATGAAGAATAAATTCAATCATATCTTTTTTTTTTTTTTTTAACATAGCATGGCCTACATATTAAAGACACTCAACAGCTGGTTCTGGTGGGAGAATATCTGGATGCCAATCAATTGTACATGGGCAGATTTTGTAGACCGGGATGGCCTTGTCTTTCCCAAACCACATCAGTTATATGCCACAATTCCATATGCTTTTGTATTGCTGATTATCCGATTCTTCTGTGAAAGGTAAGAGACAGAAATGCAATTTGATGCTAAGGTTAATCCTCATTAATGCTAAAAATATCTTTAGATCAATGTTCTTATGTTTTTTGAAGGATGATTAGTTGGTGGTTTGCTAGAAAGATCTGGTACAGATAATATGGCAGGTGAAAAACTGGGAAATGTTTCCACTGTTAGGAATAGGTGGCTGTGCTCCAATCTAGAAGGAAAATATTTCTATCTCACTTTCTTAGAACAGTGTTTGGATACTTCTATCTCCTTTTGTTAGAGATACCATTTATTCTAAACTCTTTGGGTTTCCTTTCTCTCCCTTGGTGGAAGGGGGAAGGTATTTGTCCTCCCAACCAAGCCTCTCCTCTGGTTTGGTGCTGCCCCAGAACATTTGTGTGAGGCTGATGGATCCCAGGTGTCCATCTGTGGCCAAGCTAAGCAGGCTGGAGGGGTCTCAAAGTTTCATGTGAACATTTTATGCAGATCTAGTAAAGCTGATTCCTTTTTTTCCCCCTCACTTTGGCACTGAAAGAGGGATTGCTTCTGCAGCTGGAATCTTAGGGGACAGGCAGGGGTTGACTCCACAGAAGAAAGCTACAATTATGTTAAGATTTGCAGTGCTTTGACTTATTTATTTGTGCCTTTTTTGTGAGTATTTCCTTTTTTTTCTATTTTTTTTCCCCTAAAGAATGTGATTAGTAGGTTTTTATAATTATTTCAGGATAGAATGAGGAAATTCGGAATGTCGTAAGTTGGACAGACTTAAAACAGGAGCAGATAAGATCACTCATGTTGGCAGTCTAAAGTAATTTGGATCATATGTTTCTAACCATTCCCCGTGTCTCCCGAGTAAAGGCTTGCCCAAGTCTGTCTCACTGGTGTGGATAATTAGCCCACACATCTGGCTGCAGGGAATCCAGGGAAAACTGGCCATGGCTATGAGTAATGAGGAATCAATTGCTGATATCAGCAGGGCTTTTTCACAAAGTTCTGCCCAAGCAGAAGGGAGAAGCCCCTGGCACACCCTGCAACGGTTTGGGTTGGAAAAAGGCAGAGAAGGAGAAGGCTTCAGCCTCAGGGAGTGGCCATGTGCAGGGGTGGCCCCGTGAAGTGCATTCCCAGTGACTTTGCCACCAGGGAAAGCAGCCCAGTAGCAATCCTGGAGCCCGCACGGAGAGAGCTCTGATCTCGTGCCACTCTCCCTTAACTGTTGCTGAACTCCAACATGCCTCCCAAGAACACATCCTGACTTTTGTGTCCTTTCCTTCCCTTTAGTTTTATATCATTTCATGGCCACAAACTGGAGTCCCTGGGTCTGCTTTGTTGTGTAACTGCTGATGTGCCGTGGTTCCCTCTTGGGATTAGCTGTAGGGAGATCCCTTCCTCTCCCAGAGCAGATTAAATTGCATCAGATCTATTTTCTTCAGATCCTGGCATGAGAACAGCCAAGGGCTTGTAACTGTGTTGTATTTCTGAAGTTTTTTATGGTGTGTCTTTTCAGATATGTTGCCATTCCTCTGGCAAAAGCCTTGGGTATAAAGAATGTAAGACGTGTGAAGCCACAGCCTAATCCTGTTTTAGAGAGTTATTTCCGGGAGTGCTCAAGACATCCATCCCAAGTAAGGATCCTCATTCTTTTAAACTGGGTTTGCTCTTGGAAAATCCCCCTCTTACTGTTTCAATCAGCTATCAGCAATGACATCATGGGATGAGTTCCAGCTGATTGACAGATGACTTAATTTATTTGGGTTTTCGTTGCTGTTCTGCTGACACGGGTTTATGGCATCCGAAACAGAAAATACATTTAAGATGTTTAAATTTCTGGCATGCTGTTCTAGATTACACTGTTAATAATACTTCCAGCGAAGAGCAGTGTTCTATCTTTAACCCATTTCTGCCTGGAGAAAACATCAGCTGATATCTGTTGTTGGAAAGTGGTACCATGTTTATTGCAAGCAATAATGTTGGAACGCTGGCATGGAAGCCTTTTGATCCCTTACCTTGCTGCACACTTAATCCAGGCTTATGTGAGGAAGAAAAGCAATCCTTCTATTACCTTGCTGTTTGTTTTGAAAATTGAACAAGGAAAAAAAAGAATAGCCAATGTTTGTCATCTCCAAAAATGAGGCAACTTGATTGCTGATGGGAAGTGCAGCCTCGGAACGTTCACTGACCTGACTTCAGTTCCCAAACGACTGCAGTGCTCCTACACTGGTTTGGAAAGGAAATATGTGCTTTCTAGTAATGAGGGATGTTAATAATTATTGATACATGGAACTTTGCATTCTATCTCTAACTCTGCCATTCTTTTATTGTGTCTTTTGCCTGATATCATCAGGAATAGGTGTATTGGTGTTCACATATGAGCTCTTCTCTGTCTGGTCAAGTATCCCGGTCTCTGTTTCACCCTTTCCTTCTGCATGGGACAGTTTGACAATGGATCTCTGAAAGGAAGCACAGCATTTTTATACTCATGAGTGCATGGGAAGGATCCAGGCTGCCTCCTTTGGTGTCCAGCTTGGGGATCAGCGTGCCTGGGAAAGCCTGCAGAGGCCTGGCTGGCAGTTGAGGGCATTTGGTCTCTGTTGTCTGTTGACACAAAGTTGATATTCCTGCGTGGCAAGTGGAGAGCTCCCCAGCCAGCAGGATGGGCTGGACACAGGCTGTTGGCACTCCTGCCCTCCCCAGCAGCTGAGGTGCCTTAGTAGCTCACATTCCAGAGGTTTCCCTGAGGGTAGGAGACCAACTGAACTGGACTCATCTTGGTGGAGGCACTGCTGCTGCCACCCACTATTTGCATACTGGCCTTGGGAGGAAAGAACCTCCCCAGGGATGAGCCAAACACTATCTCTGAGCCCCTGGGGGGGTCATCCCACACCTCCCACACGTGGGGATGGAGGAGAGGGAGGAAGCCCCCAGGCTCTGCTGCACGTGGGGCTCTGAGCACCCTGGAGTGCAGGAGTCAGAGCACGTGCTGGGCTGGCTGTGCAGCAGGGCTGCCTCACCTATGAGCACATGGTGCAGAGACACCGTGGCATTCCCATGGCACTTCCAGGCCGTGCTTCACCCCTGATTTATTTTAGGAGTTGAAGGGAGGCAGTCTGGATCCTGCTCACTGAGAGACACTGACTTGCTCTGCACCATGGAAGAGCATTGCATTTAAGAACAGAGCTCAGGTCACTTGAATTCCAGGCCACGTTTCATTTGCGAAACCCATTTAAATATAAACAAATAATTATTTATAATTAGGTAAGATATTAGATACAGTGTCCACATGTGTTGGTACAAGGCACTTCCCCCTCCAGCCCAACCTCTTGTCTAGCACTAAAATTTGCATCTCTGAAATCCTGACTCTCTCAGGAGCCACCAGAAAGACAGTAGCACAGTTTATGGATCTGTGCATTTCATGCTTGCTTTATTTATATAAATAAATAAAATATATCAATAAAGATATGTAATTTATATTTTGTATTTATATATTTATAAAAATAAATGAAATAAACATATATATATAAATCCAGGGTTTCTGCAAGTGTTAGCCAAAAATACCCCCATATATACTTAATATTGATTATATTTTTGGTATTGGGGAAGGTGTTCTGTGAACTACAAAATAAATGGAAGTGACACTGGAGTGCATCTTGCTGCTGACACTGTTCCATTTTTTTTGCAGTCAGAGATTCAAGGCCTTGCCAAGAAGTGCAACTGTACTGTCCATTTGGTGGAGAAGTGGTTTAGGAGACGGCGGAACCTTGAGATCCCAACAGTCCTTCGGAAATTCCGGGAGGCTTTGTAAGAAAAGACAATGCTTTTGGTTATTTTTTGCTTTACTGTTTAAAAAAAATAATAATTTGAGGTCCTCAGGTGCCTTTTAAGGGGGACTTGTTTCCAGAAAGCTGGGTCTGCCTGATGAGGGCTTTGGTTTGTGAATGCACAAACAAGTTGAAAGGATCTGGTAGCATTTCTCCAAACAGTGATTAAAAGATTAGGTTTACTGTTTCTTCTGAAAAAAAAAAAAAACAAACTTGAAAATATTTTACAGTTTTCCTCCTCGTGGAATAATGGATTTATTTGTAGGCTCCTGCTACAAAGTGCTGGATGAAAATATGCAGGCAATAGGAAAATATTTTCCTGTCTGCCAGTAATTATAGGGAAACAAAAATGTTTACTCTGGTTTATGTATGAGCCCACGCTGTCATTTTGGGATGGTATCATGTGTACTGAAGTGAGGTCAAGAGCAGGAAAAGTGGCATCCTGAGTAAATGACAGGTGTCACAGCTTGATCACGGGACACTGTGCAAAGCAGGAGCTCCAACACACTGATGAGAGTGGGCCAGTGAGAGTAATGAATATGGAAAGACTTACAAAACCTCTTGCATATGATTTTTCACACATCTGTGAGAACTTCCTCATACCTGAACACTTTAAATAATTAAAGTCTGGTCCAAAATCTCCTGCAAATGGCAAATCCCCAAATGGATGTGGCTTTACTTGTGTAGCTCCTCCCTCTTGGGTACTGATGTTATCTGTACCCCTGTAAGACACTTCTCAAATGCTCTGTGTATTTGGGTTTTGACTGGTGTAACTACACTGGCAAAAATCCACCTAACTGTAATATTTAACTTCTGTTACTGTAGATCAGCCTAAGGACTCAGGGTTAAAAGTACAGCTGCAGAGCTCAAAGCTGAGTATCAAGATTATTTGCAGTGTGAATCAATGTATGATGATTTAGTCCCTCTGTGGGACATAAATCCAGTTGATAGAGGTGTGTCTCTCTGAAGTCTGACTTCAGTAAACTCTCCTGGCAAGCCAGTCTCCAAGGTTTATTTCTGCTGTTGTTTTGTGGATCAATTAACTTTGTTTCACAAGTGACAATAAGATTTCCTGCTATTGCTAAAAGACCTGCCTGCCATGGGTGTCTCTAGTAACACACAGCTGAAAACTGAGATTCAAACTTGCCTGGCAGCTTGAGTGAGAATGAAGCAAACAGGTTTCTCTTGTGCAATTTGGTGAACCTTCCTCTGCTCTTTGTCAGGAATTTAATTGAATATAATTCTCTAGGCAAAAAAACGAGGAACAGAGTTATTCCACACTAGTAGTCAGTATTATGAGCATTTTGAAATTTTTGAAAGCCTACAATCTCCAGGATCATTTTTCTGAATCACAAGGAAAATCTGATGAGCCAGATCTAAACCATACTTAGGCTATTAGTGCTCCCAGTTGAGCAACACTGGGGTTTGGAAAGCCCTTTGCATGAAACTTTCCCTGCATTGAGAGACTTACTAGCCTTTAACTTCCCCTACTAAGTTCTTTGTTGTTACCTTCAGCTCAAGAGAAAAGATTCCTGAAGTTAAATCAGAAAATCTTTTTGCATGGCTGTTGTTCAGTGCTCTCCCTGGTGGCAAAGCTCAGAGTTTAAAAGGCACTTGGGTAAAATTTGGTGAATTTGGATGAGTTTTACCTTAGGTTTTGTTCACCAGATTCATAAAGAAGCTTGGCTAAATGCAAGATGAGGTAGTGCTCTGGCAGTGTGGCAGTATAATGAGTTCATCTGAAGCACTCTTTATTGCTAAGTGTGTTCAATATATGTTTGTAGGGCTGGGGACTAATGGCACAGCCTTGTAGGTGCTCTGTGCTTTGGGTCTGATTCAGAAAACCACTTTACAGCCAACACAGAATCAGTCCTGCCATATCCACTGGACCACTCACACCTCCCTTGTGTGAAACAGGAGCCACGAGGGCAGCACCAGCCCCTGTGTAAAGTCTGTCCTGTGCCACAAGGTTGTTTTTTCTAGCATGTCTTGGTTGACTCTGAGCCAGGTATTACTTGTGGGTCCCTCTCTCCCCTTCCGTTTGCTCTCCTATTTTCCTCTGAATTTTTCCTATCTGTGCTGTGGGTGTTCTGCAGAGTTATTTCCAAATCACCTGAGGAAAGATGCTTTAAAGTTGAGAAGGAAACCAAATGTTTATCACCTGTGCATCAAGTGGCAATTTTATAATTGTTCCCAAGCTCCTTCACAGGACACATCATTGTGTCTCGCCTCCGCCATCCCATGGCCTCAGCCTTTGTTTGTTGTTTTTCTCATGGAATGCTGTCTCAGTCTTTGAACATCTCATTCTTCCACCTGGGATATCACCCTCCAGGTACTGTGGGGCTCAGGAAGGAGGGGCTGCTTTTACCACCCAGGTTCTCGTCTCCTTCTCTCTTGTGGCACTTCATTAATGTTTGCCAGAGACCACAATCTCATTTTATACATCTCTCAATCTGTGAGTACAGTGTTCTTGAGGTGCTCTCTCCTTTTCATATTTAGGTTTTCTGGGAGGCCTCTCTCCTCTTGTTCTAGAACAAGTTCTCAGCAGGTTTGGGGCCATGTGCCTGTCCCTGTGGTCACGACCTTTCTTTGCATGTGAAGTCCTCCAGTATTTTCCTACTAATCTTGCAGAGCTCCCCTGGGGGAAGGTCAGGCTTGTTCCTGCCAAGGGGAAGAGTGGAAAGGAAGGAGTTTTCCATCACCTGTAGAGGTAGGAGTGGGAGCACTTGGGCTGAGGCTGCAGCCACACCCAGTCCCAGGGACAATCCCTCCCACACAGGCTCCAGAGTCATTACAGGACTGCTGGCTCCAAGTCACAGTATCCTGCTCTGACACCTAGGAAAGCAGCACCACAGTTCACTGAGATGCACAAGAACTTTTTCCCCTTTGCTGACAGAGCAGATCCATGGTGCAAACCTGGAAGTTTTATCTGCCTTGCTGGATATCCATGTAATCCACAGAAAGCTTAGATCAGGCTAAATTCTGGCACACCTAGTGAAAGATTGAAGTTTATAGTTAATTCAGACCTCTGTAATAATACATAAACTAATCCAGTAGTTGTTGAAGTTTCGTAAGATCCCCCTGTTGTCAACAGCTGGTGTTGAGAGATGAAGAGAAATGAACCCAGTGACTGGAACAGGTCACTGTTGGTGCACACAGTGACTGGTCAGATTGGGAAGTGTGGGCTGAGACACCTGCAGTCAGGGAACTGTGGGGTGTTCTCAGTCCTGTGTGAATATTTTAGAGGGATTGATACCATAGAAAAGGTTGAGGTTATCAAACATGAATTTTTAGGGGATTTGTTACACTTGTGATCATTCTCTTAATCAGTTCATGCCTGGCTGGAAAATTACAGCTGTCATCACAATCCAAATATCTGTGTTGTGATCACGTAAAAGAATTTGCTACCTTAGCAATTAGTCGAAGCTTAAGTATTTAAATATTAATAATTCAGATACAGTTAATGTGTGACAACCCTTGATGTTGAGCGTGAGGCCACATTTATGTGAAGATTGTGATATACAATGATTTGCAGTAATCCTGTCTCAGGACAATATCTATACAAAATGTAATGTTTTGTTTCTCTTTTTTTCACTTTAATTTTGCAGCTGGCGTTTCTCATTCTATCTGACATCCTCCATTGTTGGATTTATATTTCTGTATGATGTAAGTTAACTTCCTGAAAGATTGATACCATCTTTTTAACAAAATAAGGACTGATTTCTAGATTTCCTTGAAGCCCATTGAAAGAGCCAGTGATTTCAGTGGCTCTGTGTGTTCACATCCTCGGTGTGTATAATCTAGAGGATGGGCTGCAGTATGCACTGAGATTTAATTTTTAAATTAACTTTTGACCTTCTGTGATAAAGGAATTTATGAGTAATCAGTATTTGTAAGGCAAGTTTTAAGAAGTCACGCAGATGGTTTTACAACACGCCTTGTTAACACCTACAAACGCATCACATGGCCTTTGTTTTCCTCAGAGGAGGCCATAAACCCTCTTTTCTGGCAGCATTTTTGGGGGTCACAGCTATTTATCGAGGTGTTGCTGCTGAGTCAGAAGTTGGGAATAACAGGGAGAGTGCTGCTTGTAAGCGTGTGAGCCCTGCCTGGGGTGTCATTAATGCTTCCCCTGAGCAGCGGAACAGATCCCGGCGTGTCCACGTTCGTCTGGCTCCTCTCCCCAAACACTGTTGATCATCATGAACCAGTGGAGTGTGTGACTGGTAAACACAGCAAATTCAATCACTGTGGCAACGTGTCTTGAGTAATTGCAGTAATAAAACACACACCCACTGCTTTGGATGATGAAATGATGAACTGGAACGTTTCAGGTGTCCTGAAAGGAAGCCAGAAACCTGGGACCAATATAATAAATCTGAGATGTGAGATCCCTCTGGAAACTGGTGGAGAACAGTTATCAGGATTGCAGCTTCTTAGCCTGCTCCACTTGGGGAGATTTTAAGCAGTGAAGGCTGTGAGTTAAGATGGTGATTGTTGCTGAGCTGAGCAGACTCTGAATCCTGTGTCTTCCCCAGAAACCCTGGTTTTACGACATCTGGCAGACGTGGGTTGGATACCCGTTTCAGGTGAGCTTTTTGGGATCTGGCCATCAGCCTCCAGGCATTCCCGGTATTTCCCCATTGCCCCTTCCAATCTGCAGCAGCCTTTTCCCTGCCAACAGGCACCACCTGAAGAGGTGTGGCACCAGAGCCTCTTGCCTTGTTTTTGGCAAGTCCTGCTGACTGTTCCAGGGCTTCCCTGGCATCTGCCCGTGCTGCAACTCAGCCCTCCAGCCAGGCCACGGTTATTTCCACCCACCCCAGGATACCAGTTGCACCCTGGAGATGTTATGGGTGCTCTCAGTTTCAGTGTAGAACCCCTGCACTGCTCCAGGCCCTGCAATCCTTCAGGGCACTCTTATTTTTATAAATCTTCTTATCCCTGTCCTAGGCAGGGGCCAGGAACAAAAGGAATCCTGCCTCCCAGCTGAGTTTTTCCCAGCTCCTTGTACACACCTGCCACTTGGGCAATGTCTTGACCCAAGGGAGCAGCCAAGCCCAGCATCCTGCCAGCAAATCCATGAGATTTAAGCATAAATAACTGACATTTCACATGTGGGAAGTGTGAATATTTAATATGTTAATTGTTCACCAAAATGGAGGGGGTTTATTTGCAGTTGTTTGTAATTAAATGCAGAAGGACTCTGTATGTACTTCTCTGACAAAAACGTGGAGAAAAGCATGTTAAAATTCAGAGGTGGGGGAGGAACTGCAGAAATTGTGATTTTGGGCTGAGCAAAGGTTAAAATATTTGGCTCCCAGAACATCCTTCTTAATGAAGCCCAGAACAGGGATTCAGTTGAGTTTAATTTTTTAAGCAAGACTCAGCAGAGGAGCAGGAGAAGTCAGGGAAGGAAAAAAGAAGTAATTTCACTTGGCATTTACTGTTTGCTGTTCTCAGAGTTAACTGTGCTTGTCTTCATTACAGACCCTGCTGCCATCCCAGTACTGGTACTACATGGCTGAGATCGGGTTTTACTGGTCTCTCTTATTTACCCTTGGGATTGACATCAAAAGGAAGGCAAGTGGTCGTGCTCGTTTGTAGCTAAAACCTCCCTCTCCATGAGCAGAGAGAAAGTGTTTGCGAGGGAAATCCCCGCCTGGCTCCTGGATGAGGTGCAGCCACATGAGGGCAGCATCAGTCTGTGCCTGGCACCCTGCACACACATCCAGGATTCCTGCTGCCAGGGCATCCCTCCGGGGCCGGCAAGACGCTCGAGGGCTGTATTTGCTTGGCTTTACCTCCTCTTTTTTTTGTTTTGCCTCTCCCCGCCAGGATTTCATGGCTCACGTTGTCCATCACTTGGCAGCCATCGGGTTGATGAGTGGCTCTTGGTGTGGCAACTACGTGCGCCTCGGGACTCTGGTGATCTTTGTGCACGACACTGCAGATTTCTGGCTCGAGGTAACTCTGCTCTCCACCTTTTTTTTTTTGGCTTGAGTTTTGGTTTTTGGTTGGGTTGGGATTTTTTTTTTGGTTGTTGCTCAGGTTATTTTCAGTGCCATTTTAATCTTTTTTGCCACAAGTTCCACACGATCCCTTCCTGACACAGATTCACAGATTTTAGCTTGTAAGATAAAAAAGAGCTTCTAGATAATTTGATATTCTGCTGCAGAATCCATTATGAGAAAAGAGCAGAAGAGAAATCCTTCAGTACAGAACAGGGACTGGAAGTACAGCTGATTCCCTGGGTTGTTCTTGTTTCACTGTTAAAATTAGACCAGGATAATCACAGAATCAGTTGGGTTGGAAAAGATCTCCAAGATTGAGTCCAACCTTTGATCAATCACCACCTTGTCAGCTAAACCAGAGCACTGAGTGCCATATCCAGTTGGTCCTTGAACAGATCCAGGGCTGGGGGCTCCACCACCTCCCTGGTGATGGAAGGGACTCCACTACCTCTCTACAAATTTAGCAGCCAAAATTTTGCCTAATTCTCCTATGATTCTATGACTCTCCAAATTGGCTTTGCTGCTGTCATCATGCACCCCCCTGTGTTGAGCCAAGGGTACCTCTGCATTAAACACTTCAGGCTGGAGACACTCAAGCTGTCCCTGAATAAGATATCACAGGTACCTACTGGCAGAAAAGAAGTTTCTTCCCCTGTGCTGAAGGAGAAGTCCCTTCTCTGAACTAAATATCAATGTTTAGAAGTGTTTAAGTGTTCAGTTCTGCACTGTGGTCATACAGACTTGCTGCTGGGTTTCTTGAAAGACAAACACAAATTATGTTTCCTTCAATAGAGTTTTCCTGAGTTTATGACATGGAGATTGAGAGCACAGTTTCATCTCCTGTTTTGGTGGCAGTGCCTAAAAGCAGCCCTTTTAGTTTATTATCTGTCACTGTCCATTTTCGCTCCTCATACTCAGTCTGTTATATTGGACCAAGTAATTGTGGGGTCATAAAGTTGGGATTGGTCCAGATTAAACAAGTTTTTTTGTTGAATTACCTCTAATCTTGAATTGCTCTGTGTTCCAATTAACTGAGGGCCCTACAGACATTTGAGCTGGAAACTGGTAGGACAGCACTCGGATGGAAACTGAAGTTGAGTACCAGCATGACTTAATCCTGCCACTCAAAAAAAGAAGGGGGAAAAAATAATTAATCAAACTGCTTGTTTAAAACTTAGGCTTGGCACCTGAGGCTTTGCTCACACTTGAGAACAGCTGTTCTGCTCAGCCGTGCCCAAGGTGGTTCCTAATGGAACATGCAGAGCTCTGTAGGGTTCATTGAGGGGAGAAGCAGCAATTACAACCTTTCTGAGTGGGATAGAGACCAGCACTAAGATCTCCTGCTCTCAAAAAGGAGAAAACAGAAGCTGAATTAGGCCCAGAGGAGGGTCAGTAACAGGCATGTACCAGAACACCTGTGTGAGAGGGGCCACCACCACTCCTGAGCAGCTTCTCTTGGACTCAGCCTGTCTGGAGTCTGGTAGAAAAATGAGGAATTACCTCTGTTGGCAAGAGCACTTTGTGTTTCCACAACACTTGGATATTCTGGTTGGAGAGCTGCTCTTTAGGCCTTTGATACAGAGTCCTTTCCTTTAGGATGAAAGGAGAAATATAAACAAAGCATCTGTTCTGATGCTGCTTTATTAGGTACCAGTAACATGCTTGCTTTACATGTCAAACTGGGAGGAAATTTTCTTCCTGCTTAGGTGGAAGATGAGTCTTTATTTATGAAAGCACAGAATTTATTTCAGAGAATATTTACAATACATTTGGTGGTTTCTATTCTCTGCAGGCAGCCAAAATGTTTAATTATGCTCACTGGGAGAAAACCTGCAATATACTCTTTATCATCTTCTCTATTGCATTCTTCATCACCAGGATCATCCTGTTCCCCTTCTGGTAAGCAACATTTAATGGAGTCACAGGCTTTTACTTCATTCCCACTTCCCCTGAGAGGTTACTGTTGGTTGGGATGGGAAAAGGTGAGGAATGGATTGGACTTTAAAGAGCAGAAGCAGAATTGTCATTATTGTTGGCTACTAAGGGATAGCAAGAAGAGTTGACAGAAACTGTCATTTTCTTTAAAAGTTCTTAAGTGAAAATAGTCTTAAAGGAGCCTCTTGAAGATCTGCTAACCTAAATAAAGGCTTTTATGTATTATTTAACTTGTTGTAAATCATAGTTAAATGCTATGAGCTCCTGCATTTTCAAGGGGGTCGAGCTACTTAACCAGGAGAAATCATTTTCCCTTTCATTCCACCCCTCCTGCTGTAGCTGCAAAGTCAGAGTATGTGACTGTAGTTCAATTTTTGTAGAATCTTCTTTCTGCTCCCCAGTTCTGGGGTGGTGCCTCACCTCACTCACCCACGCGAGGAGCACTCTGAGGAGTGAGGGTGAACCAATTAATTCATGGAGTCAACACAAATAAATCTTAACTTGCTAAATACTTGGATGCCTTTGGAGTGCCATAATTTAATCTGCTTTGGAGTATCCACATGGGTGCTTACTGTGCTTAGTGTGTTTAGCTATTAAAAGTGTTTAATGTGTTTCACATTCACAGCCCTAATTTGCCTTCGTGCCCCTCCCTGCACGTGGACAAACCCTTAGAGGCTCAAGCTGCTTAAATTAAGGGTTCTGAACACTGATCAACACAAGGCTTTAATTTCCTGTAGTATTTTCCTTCAGAAAGGCTGATGTCTTTCACTTTATTGTGATTTTCTGATTAACTGTACAAGTGATCTCCAATCATTTTGCTTCACCGAGTTTCTTGTTCTACAGTTCTTGAGCTCAGAAGCAAAACATGAGATTAAAGGGACTCAAAAAGCCCCAAATAATATGGAAGTAGTGAAGTCTGAAGATGGACAAAACATATGTTAATTAACAAAAAGCCCTGTAGCAAATCCTGTAGGATTTTCTCTGGAGTGTGGATTTCAGATTAGGGAGAATTTACATTAAAAAAGGCCTAGACAAGCTCTGAGTTGCACAGTATCCAGACCACACAGAGATGAAGATCTAAAAAACAGGGCTTTTTTTCTAACCTCATTTAGAATACTTTCATGCCAGACTCAGATTTCTCATCTTCTGAAGTCTGTATTTCAGTGGAGATGCATAATCTAGTTAAGACAGATCTTGTTAATTAATCTGCCATCTTTGCAGAGCTTTTTAATATTAATCAGTTGGGACTGTGACATTAGAAATAAGTGTAAATAGAGAAGAAATCTTGACTGTAACAGTGACCTTTGTTTTTTAGGATTCTTCGTGCCACACTCTATCTGCCAACCTACTATTCCACGACTCCTGTCATAGCCTATTTTTTATTCAATGGGATGCTGTTGACCCTCCAAGGCCTGCATTTATACTGGGGTTACTTAATCTACAAGATTTTGAAAAGGTTCGTTTTCCTAAAGGTAAGAAATTTCTCTTCTTCATAAAGATGTGTGAGGTATCAAACAGATTATAATACTTCCAGTAGATTAACTTGGAATTTATGAATGTTTTCCTGATCTTTCAAGTTGGCATTTTTATAGGGATCTGCAAATGTGCTTTGTCCTTTTCATTGTCAGACCTCAAGTCATAGGTCAGAATATCAAAACCTCAACTAGAACCTTTTTTTTTGTCTGCATCTGATGTTTTGCACTGATAGTAAATGAGAAATGAGCTCCCCCCAAAACTGAAGCCCAAAGGTGGTGCAGAACTCTTTAGGAATTCCTGTGTTCCAAGTGAAAGCAATCTTTTGTCACTGGACTTTGTAGGAATGTACCAAAACAAAGGAGAGGAGAGATGAGTGATGAGATCTTTGACTACAAGTTTTCTGCAGTAGTGAAAGTTCCTCAGGTTTGTCTAAATCTGAGGTCAACTAAACTTGAGCACTGGTTTTGGATTAAGAAAATGAAGCTGAACTAGTATTATATTGTGGCACAATTAAATACTGTGCTATTCAGCTGGAGCAGAGAAACAGTGCAAGTATGCTGCTGCATAATCTGCTTTTACCTTGGAGAGAAAACTCATGTGGGAAAAACCTCTAAAGAAAACTGCCATTTATGTCTTGTTTGATTGCCTGAGGTAGTAACATTTTTCTTGTGCCATGAAGTGGCAGTGGGGTGCAGTGTAGGTAAAACACTGAGCAAAAAACATTAAAGAGAAGGACTTGGGAGAATGTCTCTAAGATTTGGGATAAGCATTGACAAGTATCTTTTTCTAGTTAAGATGAAACTTAAATCATGCTGCTGAAAAATGGTATTTCTTTTGAGGCTCAAGAAGCAAAAGTTACTTGAACTGACTCTGTCCTTTTATCTGAAGCAGTTAATGCTGTGAAGAATCTGAAGGAAATAGAAATATTACTGTCTCCTGTATTTAATTGTTGGTTTACTGCTAAGAGAAACCATCCTATAATTATTGGATTCTATAAGATCTCATGCAAATAGACAGCTGGGTATCACAGGGAGACCCAGTGTCTGCCCTGGAAGAAAACTGCAGTTCCAAACTCAGCAAACAGCTGCACATAAGGGACAAATCTGTGGAAGGAATGGTTTGGGTCATTCTGCTGCTAAAACAAGCTTCTCTGTTCTCTTAGACACTGAAAAGCTTGTAAATTTTACATGTCATTTACCTCTGTTTGACTAATTACAAAATTATTTCTGGCCTGACTTATGGAGTGTGAAAGGGATTTACTTCTTGTTTTCTTTTGTGATGTTGGCCGTGTCTCTGTGCTGTTCTTGCTCAACCCCTTTGATGAAATGGAGAGACATCCCCCTGCCCTGCAGCAGAGCTCTCCATCCATGCTGCTTGAGGTTCTGAGAGTGCACAGAGGTGGCACAGAGGACATGGCCAGCCCAGCTATATAAGGCCACCCTGCCCTGCTCGTGTGCCTTTGTCAGGGGCAGAGATGGTTCATTTCCACATCGGAGCTTTGTCGCGTCCGTCACTGCTGAAAAATGGGAAAGCACCAAACCTGCATCCCTACCACGGATTTCTGATTCCTTATACAGCTCTCTGAGAAGAAGGCTTTCCAAATAACATTTTTACAGTGGTAGCAGCAGCAGCCTGAACCCTTTTCAGTCTGGATGACTTCAGCTGGCTTGCATGTGCAGCCTGTTTTCCATAGCGGTGGCAAACTTGGCTGTGAAAGCAGCCAGTGCCTCCAGAGCTGGAAAGGGAACGTTGACAAGAATGGTGTTGGCAAGGCAGTGTTTTTATACCAACATCTTTGTTAGAGACACACTCCACACAAATAGCTGCTGCTATTTTAGGGAAATACCAGTAGACCATCATCCTCGTGTCAGAAGGGGTTTGTCTCTCTGCCCGAGGCTCTTAAGTTTTCATTCAGAAAACAGGCAATTTTTGGTGTTTTTCTTGAAGCAACAGTTTTAGCTCCTTCAGATGGAAAAATGAAGTCATGGTGGAACTGGGAATAGAGGCTCATGTTGTTGTTTAACTGAAGGAAGCTCAGAGCAGAGGAGGGTGTAAGGAATTTTTTCAGTGCCCTCTGTGCCTTGAGCCACCCTGGGGTTTTGGGGTCACTGCAGCCTCGAGGGTCAGTTCCTCCATGCAGGAGGAGATGGCTCTTGGCTGAGACTGGCTGCTCAGAAGCTCTTCATCTCAGATGTCACCTCCTCTCTGCACCAATGAAGGGCACAGTTATCCTCAGTCCTCTGGGATAGCTCAGCTGACTGATTTGCTTCAGCAAAAAGGAACTCGGACCACAAATCTTGTGGTTTTTCTCCTCCCAAACGCTGCAGCCAGAGATGAATGAAAATGAGGGAAAAGGGAAGAAGGGAGATGATCTTGCTCTGTCCATCTGTGTCCTGTTTCCTCAGCCATGGGGGTCTTTGGTGGCACAGAGCAGCACTGGTGGTCTCCATGCTCACAGCACTGGTGCCACCTTTCCCTTGGCCCAGTCCTCCAGGAATTCCCCCCTAACAAGGGGGAATTCTGCACCCACAAGCTGAGCTGCACTCAGCTACTTCACATTAAGCAGCTCTTTATTTTCCATGGTGGCAAACTTGAGGGTGCAAGAAAACTAAGTTTTTCAAATCCATTATTCTTACTTCTGAAAAACATAAAATATTCCCTAAATGCCCTTTCCCATATGACATTTGTGACCCTGTGGATGAGAGTGGCATGCAGGAAAATCCCCTCAAGGTCAGACCTGTAGCCGTGTATCAGTCGTGCTGTGAGAGGAAGGAGAATATTCTTCAGAGCAATTTCCTTTCAAGTTGGGTCAGGCAATTGCAACGTTTGCTGCCATCTTGATGTCCAAGGCCTTTTTGTTGCTAGGAAACTCCCCGTGTTTCTGTAATATTGTTCAATTACATGGTTAAATTACCCACTTGTATCGAGTTTCAAGCACCACTGAAACATGTCTAGTCATCATGTCTGCACATATGAGAATATTTTAGGAAAATTGAAAAAACATACAGAGGAGTATGTACATGTGCACTGATTTAAACCATCTCGCCAGGAAAATCCCATGGAGATCTAACATTTTATTTCCAAGGTCACAAAGAGGGGGTGAATGACAGCAGCTTATAGCTACGTTATTATGGCAAATTAAGATGTAAAATATATGTTAAACTCATTACACACTGAGTTAAGGTTTGGAGACTTCGGTGCTTTAAGTCTCGAAAAATATGTGTAAGTTGTAGGAAATGGGAATGGTGTCCACATGACTGGGATACCTCAGGGCTGATGCAAAGTCCATCAAAGGAGGGCAGTGACAGGTTTCTAACTGGCTGTGATGTGACCAGGAGGAGGTTTTCTTTCTCCTGTAATGGTTTTGTCACCGTCAGAGCACCTTCAAGTAACACAATGAGCTGCTCACTGGTGGTTGCTGTTATTTAGGAGTCATCAGGGTCAGTTTTGTTGGATTCCCTCTGCTTCTTTCCTCTTCCTGAAGCAGAAAAGTTCCTGCACTGCTGTAGAGCAGGACTTTGTACCTGTCACTCTTTAAAACCCTGTGTATCCTCAATATGCCTTTGGCATTTTGTACTTGGTAAGCGGTTTTTTAGAGGCTTTGGTTGGGTGTATCCTTGTCTATGGTTTGTTCATTCCTTATTTGATCCAAATTCCCAAGGAAACAGTGCAAGCTGACTAACAACAGAGTAGAGGAAGCTGAAAACGATAAGAAAATACTATTTTGGGGGTGAAATGAGAGCTGGGAGGTGCTTGTTATGACAGTTCTGCTGTTTCCAGGCATCATTATCCCACTGCAGCATTTTGTGCTTTTTCCTCTTTTTTTTTTTTTTTTTGTTTTTTGATCTGTATCCTTTAGAATCAGGCCATGGACCCACAGTGGTTAAAAACTCCTGGTTTAGCTGAATTAAACAAGAGTCATTCATCAGTTCTCTGAGTGCTGTGAACACACCTCTCCTGTCACCTCTCAGCACTGACTCTCTCACTGAACTGTGCAGTAACTTGGGACATTTAATCCTAAACAGAAAGAAATCCTAGTTTAAAAACTACAGAGAGGGAAAAGATCTCTGTAACATGGAACAACCTTTAAAGAGATTACATTTTAAATCTCTTTTGTGGCAAAAAAAATTGCATCCTCTTAGTGGTGTGCCTGAGCTCTGGGCTGTTGGGGGAGCTCAGACACACCTTGACTGAGCTGGGCCTGACTTCTCCAGCTGATAAACTCAGCCTTAGCTTGAGCTGTGAAGGGTCATCACCAACCACACTGTGTGTCCATACACTGTGGAGTTACTGGGATGGGAAAAGGAAGCATGGAATGAAATGCATATTCAGTTTTCACATGTACAGCAGTTTACTGGGCTCCTAAAAAGTCAGGTCTTCAGCTGATTCCTTTTTTTCCCTCCTTTTGGAAACAATTAAAAAAAAATCTATTTTTGGGACATTTATAATGAGAAAATGAAGTTTAATGAGAATTAGCACATTCAGTGGGAAGTCCTTCAGTTCGGAAAAATGCCATATTACAGGAGTTAAACAGAGGACAGGGTTTATTTCCTATCCTAGAGGCATCTAAGTTTTGTTTTCTTTCATTTACATGCTTTGTTAGGCCTGTGCTGCCCCATGTTGGGGTGGTGGGAAAACAGACCAAGAGGTGCACTTGCCTTAATTCCAAGTGGTTGTTTTAAAAGCAGTAACATATTTTGGAGGATAATGATCATCTAGTTAGTTACAATTTCCTGACTGTGGAACTGGGAAGTTGTGGAAAAGTTTTTACTGGAGGTTTTGTGGTTCTAGGCTGGGAAGGGCCAGTGCACACTGATGTCCTGCTTTGGAGTTCAGGTTCTGTGAGTGGAGGATTAGCACAAACACAGGGCAGGTTGAACTGGATTAGTAGGGGTTGGCCTTTCCCCATTTTAAAGAAAAACAGGTTGTGGAGAAGTTGAATTTGTTGGTTCTCAACAGATAAATACTTATAGCAGAATTTCTCATCAGGGGAACA